ATCAGCACACAGATACTCACTGGGATGACTTGCTAAAATAAAAATGTGCAGGGAGTAGCAACACAGCTGGTTTGCAGTGCATAGAAATACTTAACCAGAATGGAAACGAAAGCAAATTATAGTGTTTTCATTCGCCTGGCTAGTACAGACCTATCTTTATCTTAACAGTAAACTCGAAACCAAAGCAGCTTTTTTGACACAATCACACACAAAGGCATGCGAATGATTATAAAATGGTCATGATTGTGACCAAAGAAGGCCGTAGTTGTACCAGTAGCAGAATCAACATTACCAAAAAAAATAAAAATAAAGATAATTGATCACAAGTGGGTAAATATGCAAATGGGAGGACCTTCGAAGTAATGAACAAGTTCACATTTATACATGCTTTTTCTCAGTGGTTTTTGGCTGGTTTTACTTCTTATCCTTACAAGTGTGGTAACCTTATCAAGCTCAAAAGAATGACCAGAGGGGATACAATTAGTATTAGCTGACTCAAGTCTGTCCACATGTCATTGTGTCATGTACGGCCGCACGTATACCAGGCGCAGGAGAGCCCGCGACGTGCGCCGGGCGGCCGAGCGGGCATCAAGGGCGCAGGAGCAGCAGGCGAGTGGCTAGGAGGGAAAGTAGCTATCTTTACCTTATTTGGTTTAGTCCTACAATTAAGGAGAACCTTCTCCATCTGTAAGGCCATTGGCCATATATGCTGTACGGCAGTAGCCTTTGGAATTAACGAAGATTATTCCCATCTAATCTCCTCTCTCTCTCCTTAAGCCGGCGACCTGGGGGGCATACCCCAGTCGACGTTGAAGCTCGGCGTGGGGGAATAACCCTGCCGGCAATCACGGACCGAGACTACGATCTGCGTAGTCGAGGTCCTCCTACCCTGGGCATCGCTGCCCTTGACACATTGAGACAAGGGTAGAAAATCCACATAAATCAAAATTTCCTTCTTTCTTGAGAACTTAGCGATCTACATAATTTATCATAGTACATAACTTGCAAGCTAGCTGTAATTGAACCTATTCTCAATTGACAAAAATTTAACAGCAGGATATAGTAATAGCAGTGAACCTATTAATATAGCTTCAAGCAAAAAATATGAAAGAAAATTTAACATGATAGGACATGAGAATGAGATACCAATATGCATGAAAAGGGCTAAGAATATTCTGATTGCATCCAACTAGTGAGCACCTTTCATCTTGAGGCTGGTATTACAGTAAGAACAATAGACATCTACAGCAACAAGAAATAGACTATCTAGCACGGTTCAGAGAGCACATGTATGTAGTCTGCGCTGGTGAATGGAAGCCCCCGCCGCAAAAAAGAAGCGGCTTTTCCCACGGCTCTGTCACCATTGACTCTATTTATTATTATGGAGATTGGGGAGCTAGAGAAGTATTACTTTCTTCCCGTGAGATGCTTGACATCAAAGATATATGGTTCTCTCAGGGTTGACAGCAGCCTGGCGCTTGGCAGCTTCACCAATGAGCCTCTTGCTGTCGATGAAGGCAACCCAATGAACTTGTTGTCTCCTCAACAACTGAAAATGCAAAAAGGGGACCCTGCACATAGGACAAGAATTATTAAGCAGCACCATTTTTCTATTTGATCTCAAGTTAAAGTTACCAGCAAATATACAGCAGCTACAACAGAAATGTAATTGAGATAATAGCATAATACTGACAACAACAACAACAACAAAGCCTTTTAGTCCCAAGCAAGTTAGGGTAGGCTAGAGTTGAAACCCAACGTGAGCCCCTAGTCACGGTTCAGGAATAGCATAATACTGACATCATTTTTTTTTGCGCATAATAATACTGACATCATTGAAGAGTTAAATTCAGGTACATTCCAATCACAAATCGAGGCACCAAAACAATTAGACAAAATCAAATCTCTAGCTAACTTGTGAACTCAGTCAGCGTCAGTGCAATTGAGTTTGAAAAAAGAAAGTCATTGGCAGCTACTCAAGAATACAATAAGTCAGAAAATTTCAGGAGATTGAAGCTTTTTAATTGACCAACAATGTTAATGGTAATTGACTCATTATTTTACTAGTTCAATAAATTATTACCGACATGTCTACACTAGTTTATGGTCCAATTTTGTACAGGAGTGCACCTTCAAGTCGGAGCGGACAATGCCTCTCTCCAGCAAAGCCAAGAAGCTCATAGATCCTCGCTGATCAAGCATAGGAGCAAGAGATTCAATCCAAGCAAAAAGGGATGGAGAATGAGGAGGAGAAGGGGCAAGAGAAGAGATGCAAATTGCGGAGCCACCACTGTCTGAATGGAGGTGGCGCGGGAGAAGCAACTACAGCTAATAACTCGAACTCTAGCAAGAAGGCAGGGCCACAGGGTGGTAAGAGAAGGAGAAAGGGACGATGGGGAGGTGAGCTGGAGGAGCCAAATCTGGATCTGCCATCGTTGTTGGACTCGATGGCCGTGCGGGCGTGGGAGCGGCGGTGGCGACGACGCCTTTTACGGGAGCAGAGCGAGTGAGCGAAGAGTGACGTTAGCTAGATTCATTTCCGGGCAGCGGTGGGGATGATTCTGTCCCACGCAGTTTGACTGAGGTGGAACAGTTCCAAGCCCCGGCCTTGCCAAATGTGCTCTTGGCGCACCACGTGGGTCTATCCCCGGTGTGGGCCTGCTCCCTCTCACGGGGTTTCGGCACCAATCCACGTCAACCCTCGCATATACAAACAAAGCCTAAAGGGGACCTTAAGAGAAGTTATAGCCATTCCTAGTACCTGACATTAATTTCCATAGAACAATGGCTTAAGTTTGCTACTATTGGAAGAACTTTGGAGCATGTATGAGAGATTGAATTGTTGTGGTGATTATATTAATTAAGATAGGAAATCCAATTATGCATGTATGTTAATAATATAGTACAGAACTACTTCCTCAATGCCTTGTCTCTACTTAAAATGCAAGTTAAAGCTATAGATTTGCATGTAAACAATCATAGAAATATAACAAACATACATGGATAGTTAACATATTGACACAAGCATATTGAACAGGCATATAATTTGCACTTGAAGATATTGTAAGAGCTGAATTTGCTAAAACAATGAAAATTTTAAATTAGCGCTTCAATCCATACACCAGTTGCCTAAATCAACAACACAATTTTTTTTTATAAAAAAATAAGACCATGCTGGGACTATTGGTCTGACTATCTAACTCCCGAGTAAAATCACACTGCTACAATGTTAGGGAAAATAAATATGTATCAGTTTCTCCTAAACACATGGCATTAGTGGTCCTCTTAGTACACCTTTTCCCCGACTTAAATTCAGGAAGGATCCAATCTCAGTTCTGCCTGACTCTTGTCACCAGGGGTTGACAAAGTAGGCCAATCATCATTCAAAGCTTATACTTTTGTCGAAATTAAATTAGTCTTCTGACAACTCAAATTCTAGAATACTATGGTATCATACATTTATTTGATATAAATGTAATATTGTAAATTTTAAATGGGAAAATTCCTTTTTTTTTCATTACTGTTGACCATAAACAGGAGCATTTGGTGGAAAGTGGTGCCCTGAAACTACAAAATGATACTTGTTTGTATAGCAATGTAACTCCCTAATGGAAGTCGACTGGATGGAGTAACTCCATGATATCTGATACAAACCTTTCGACATAAATTTAACCAGTAACGTTAATTAAAATAGGCACCCCTTGTAACCAGAAGCAAAGATACACAATCAATGTTTCTTCCAAGAACTTGAATTTGCTTAACACTATTAATACCTTAGAGTACATTGGATTTAAAAGCAACCTAGCCATCTTATGGAAAACCGGATCTGATAGGTTGGACCCAAAGGCTGGCCATATAATGGAAAACATAATTTGATGGCTTATAACCATCAGTCAGAGAACAGTACAAAAAGAGAACTATTGCATCAAACCATACATATATTGGCATATATTTTCTCAACAGTATCTGATAGAAACCTTTTGAATTATTTATGCATATGTTTTCTCAACAGTATCATGATCAGTCTGTGCTGATCTTTAGCTTGAATACATTTACTGCAAACTTGAAATAGCAAGATTCATAGAGTATGCATAGATTCAGATTATCATAACATAACTGCTTTGAGAAATATATAGTACAAATTTCCATGCTCCACCTAAATATGAGACAAAGAAAAATACAAAGGCGAAGAAGCGCCAAATCAACAAGCTGAATGAAAGGAAAATGATAGTGTTATCTAGGGAACTTTTAAAACCTAAATGCCACTCATCTATCCACCAACCCTAATTCTCCATTAACACTAGATTACAAGAATTGAAAAAGAGCAATTCAAGTTAAAGTGCAGCTACCTGAGGTTTTGAGTTCAGAGGCATCAGCAACAATTGACTATTTTTTTCAAAGAGAAGGATGGTGTGTTACCCCCCTTTTCAATTTCTATTATCAAAATAATTTGACAAAGGGTTGAAAATAGGAAGCTGTGAAAAAAGAGAATAGAAAAAGTATAAAAGTAGTGCAGAAACAAAATTTTCCTCTGAATACAGTGCATTTCTGCTGCTAGCTTATCCCTCCAAATGCAACCAAAAACCTCTAAATGCTTGTGAGAACCATCTATCTGCGGCTCCACACACACAAAAACGAAAAGAAAAGAATTGTTCTTTACCTTGGGGGTGTTCCTGGCCACTATCTCATTGGGGTTGAGCTCCCAGAAGACCCTAAGCACACCAGGTGTCTCCTGCTACTGCTAGTCGATCTTCTCCTGTGGTCCTACCTTCAATAGCTTGATACTATCCAGCAGTCCTTCATGTAGTCGACCATTTTGCCCAGGATCGATGTCCTGCCCATCTATTTGGCACAATCAACAAGGCAAACTTCATCGATTTCAGCATATATCTTCTATACTTTATTGGTCGAGTCCAAAAGGACAAAAAAGGAGAGATTTTCCCTTGCCTGAGAAGGTCGCGCAGGTCTGAGTCCATCATCAGCATGGAGTAGTTGGGCACCTAGAAGGTGTTCAACAGCATGGCCGTCACCTTCATCCGCATCATCGCCAGCGCTGCCACATCCGCCACCACGACATGGAGGCTGGAGCCCCCACGAAGCAGCGAGCTTGGCCAGTGGCCACCAAGAGGCAACTCAATTGTTGACAGCGAGTTCATGGAGCCATTCAGTCCCTTTATCTGCAATTATATGTTGTTCCAAGAACAAAGTTCTCAGAGATATGTTTTGCCAATTTATAATGGCGTGTTAGTTTTTATATCATGCATCATAGCAGCAACAATGATAAATTCACCATGCATCAGAAAATAAGCCAAAAAGATTTGCTAAAGAAACCTAAATTTCGTGAGGAAAAATGACTTGCAACAGAGCAACCACCCTTGTTTCTTCCCTTCAGTATCAAGAAGAAAAGTAGCTTCAACACACAAAAATAGTGGTAAACATTTGATATTGGAGATATATATAAAACACAATACTTTCATGCACATCTATTATTCAATTAAAAAATTTACCGAATTGAAGCTAAGAAATAATAAACTTTGTTCATCTGAAATATTTCTGGGAAGAAGATAAAGAAAGGGAAAATATGCTGCCTGAAATACAAGACATGGTACCATATGAGATGTATTCATGATAGAAATGAACGGTAACAGAAACCAAAAATGCGTTGGGGGGTAGTAGATTAAAAAAAGTTTGTTTAATTAACTAATCACTAAAAAGGACGTACCCAGTGCAGAGAGCTTCCGCTCTGTGCGGGGTCTGGGGAAGGGTGTCAGTGGCAAGCCTTACCCTCGCCTGTGCAATGCGAGGAGACCGCGACTCGAACCCGGGCTATAAGATTAAAAAAAGGGAAACCAGGATATATATATAGGAACATTTAGAATTGGAAAAAAACATGTTAAGGGGCTGCAGCTGCACACTGCAGTATTCTTTTTGGAATCTAAACGAAGATCGATCCTTCTACATGGTCGAGGAAAAAATCTGAAGCATGACATACAGGAAAGTGCATGGCCAGCAGAAATTTGTTCTTTTTGACAGAAGGTCAGCAGAAATTTTGAAACAAAACATATTAAAAGCACACGTTACCCAGAATATACCAATTCAAACAGTTGTAACTTTACATGCACAAGTAGTAAATATACAAGACTCAGTTATTGTATAGAACAAAACTCAGTTATTTTAAAGACCTATAACCTAAATAAAAAATGCATTTACTAAGGTGTTTTTTGGTTCAATAGTGGGAAAGGCAACTGGAATGTAATCTGGTGGCAGTGCTAGCAACTTGGCACGTAGCAAAAAAGGAAGAGGACAACAAAAGGAAAACTAAATGGCCCTGCTATAACTTGGGGCACTCTTGAATATCGGGGCGTTTTTGAGTATGTCAGGTATGATCCCTGCTCCTCTGGTGAAGACGTGCTCCAGCTGTGACACCTTCCTGTCGTGGAATGCATTCATTTTTATTTTTAATTTAATTATAAAAATTATTCAACAGATTTTTCAGGGACGAGGCAAACCAAATGAAATTCAACCGTGAAGGTGATGTTTTCGAGCTGGCAGTTCCGGTCATCCTCGCACTCGACCAATGGATCGAACCGCTGTAGACCTCGCCGGTCTTGAGCTCGAGCCTAACGATTGCCGATCGAGCAAGAGCAGACATGATCGGATCAGAACCATTTGTTGACAAAAGCAAATCAATGGAGTGGGCAAACGGGATCGGAGATCACGCACAAAGCTAAGGCGTTAAGGGCAGCTTGGACCCGCTGGCCAAAAATGTTACTGGCCTTGGGCTGTGGAAACTCCTTGCGGAGGCTGCTCGGGCCGCGCCGCAGCGCCCGAGGCACGGGCGCGAAGGAACCCGGACTGCTTTGCGCATGCACCAGGGGCTGATGCTGCGCCATTGGGGCGAGACGACGACGTCGTGGGTCCGTGTGGGTACCCGATGGAGGAACGCGGCGGAGCTAGACGCGGAGATGGATTTCAGGACGAGGTGTAGAGGATTGCTGTGGGACGCGGCCAGGAGGGTTAGGGTTTAGCGGCCGGCCGGTGGGGAGTGGGGGCGCCGATGTCGCCGCAGCGGCGCGTGGGGAGGAGGAGACGACGAACACGCGGGGGAGGGGTGGGATGCGGTAGCCGGTAGGCACATGCAGACGCAACAGGCCCAAGAGGCCGGGCCTTGGGCCCACGGTTAATCGGAGTTGTAGGCAGGCAGAGGAGTCCGCAAACCAGCAGCAAAAGACCGAGGAAGCACTCGCAGTCGCCACCAAACCCTAGCCGACGCTTCCCCAATCCTTCCTGGCCGACGACGCCTTCCCATCCGGCTTCCCCAATCCTTCCTGCCCGCCGGTGCTATGTCTGGGACTCCTCGGCGGGATCTGGGCCCCCGTGATCTGCCGGCGGCGGACTCTACGCCTCCCACCTCTGAGGTACCTAGTCCGCTCTGGTTCCATGGATCCATCCGCGTTGCCTGCAATTCACTATCCCTACCTATTTCTGACGAGATCTATTGTCCATTAACCAGTAGCGCTCGTCTGATTTGTGAAGACGTAGTAGCTGGCTTAAGATTTCTGCGTTCTGGCTGGTGTCTGGCGGTTGTTGGTTCGTCTTTTGAGTTTAAAGAGGTCTCCTTTTGTTGTTAGCCTCTTTGTTCCTGTGGAGTTTAGCTATGTTCTGTGTTGCCGTGTTGGTGCTGGTGAGTTCTTAGGGTACGAAAAACTGTTGTGCTCTGAACCTTTATTTTTTGGGTTGTTGTCGTCGTCTGGTCTCGTCGTTACGATGCAATTGCAATTAGACGGGGGATGGTTTTGCCTATAACAGACTTTCTTTATACTGGTAAGCATCAAATTTGGATGTGCCATGTGCACTTTCCCTGGCCAATAACAAAGGTAGGGTTTTGATCGCAATTTTCTAGTTCAGCCCCTTTCATTGGCAGACGAGTTCTGTAATTTGACCCAATAATGGTGAATGTTGCCCCTTAAATATGCAGACAAAGCAGAGGGGAGGTCTATCTTAGATATATGTGCTTAATTTGTTAGTTCTGCTTGAAAGGAAGTGGTGATAAGTGTTCTTACTGAAGCATTTTGTAGCGGGTGGAGGGAAATCCACCCACTATATGGTTGTTTGATTTACTGAAGCATTTTGTATTGCTGACGATTTGTTAGTTCTGCCTGAAAGGAATTGGTGATGTGAACAATTAATTCATGATATATGGTTGTTTGATTTACTTGGGGGAAATCCATCCTTCCGTTATATTTTTCCTTAGTAACCTTTTGTTGTTGTTGAAATGTAAGTCTAACCACTACGACAGCTTTTATATCCATAATACAAGTTCTGTATACTGTACTGTTGTTAAAGCATCTCCAGGAACAGGTGTAGTAATATAATTCATATATAGTCAATCTGGATAGATTTAGACATATGTACTATCTAGTGGTCAAACTTTTGATAGTTTGATTGTATATATAGAATTTTGAAAGGGCTATTGCTAGCCAATTTGCAGCCATTCTCTCTTGTTAGTATCCACTAACATGAATATGGATATTTTTTTTTACCTTATGCATTACCATCTCAACTGTATTTCTCTAATCAATCCTAGCAGGGTCGATCTGGCGATGGAGCTAAAGCTGATCGTTCTAGCAAGACAAAGATGCAGGTTGAACATTTGTTGTCGACTTTACAAAAAGAGGGAGTGCAGATAGATGAACTGGTATTGTTGATGCTGAGATAGCTAAAATTAAAGCTGAAACTTTGAGGTAATTGGAAGCCCTACGTCTTATTGATTTTTACAAGATAAAATGAAACGATCCTACCATTTGTGCAAATGTGTTCACATCGATCCTTTTGATAGGGAGGCAATCAATGAGTCAAAAAGAGGGGGAATAACGATGTGGTCTGCTGCTTTAGCTTGTTGTGGCCTCGCACTTTACACGGTTGCATCTATTTCTGCCGGTTTCCTTATGAGAGCAGATTGGTTTGAGAAAGCCTTCCGTGAGGAATATGCTAGGAGAACTGGTTTCATTATTGGAGCACATAGGAGAACGAATGGTGAAGATAAGTAGCTAGGGCTTGCATAGCCTTGCAGGTCCACTCTATTTATGATATGTAAAACCAAGTATGTAATCATGGTAGAACCTATTTATGTTGTCTAATTCTGGTATGCAGAACCTATTTAGTGTCTAATAATTAGCATGCTATACTGGTTTGACATGTGTGATTGACCATGTATCTGTTATAACTTATATAAGCTGTGTGGAGCAGGTGCTTGTCGTAAATTGGACTCAAGAATTACTGGCTTTGGCCCCTAGGTTGTCTTCATTTTCAGAATTTGTCACACTGGTAAATGTTGTCTTCTATTCTATGGTAAGTGCCCTTTGGGTTGTCAGCAGAACCTGCAACGGGGCAACTCGGATGCTATCATCAAAATAAAAGCTTAGAAAGAGAAGGTCACAGTAGCTGACCAACCTCTTTGGGTTGTCAGCAAGTTTTCAAGAGATATGCATGTAAAGTTATAATGATGCATTTCTTTTGAGGCCAAATCATGTGCATATGAAGTGATAATGATGCATTTATTTTGTTGTCTCCTGTCGTCCTTGACGCAGAAACTATTAGGGATGTTTGGACCTTGCATTGACGCAGAAACTACTAGGAATGTTTGGACGACTGCTAGGATTGCTTTGTTATAGTGGATCAACTGCTAAGCGCATCGAAGATCTCCCGGTACTCGTGAATGGCGTCGATGCCCCATTTCTTTAACTTACCAGTTGCAGCTTCGTTCCCATCCAGCACAGGAGAAGAGGAAATTGTGCAGATTTTGCAACTTCATATAAAATGATGATGTGAATTTCATGTCGTACTAGAAAACACTGGGCGCGTCGTTGCCGCGCCATCACTATGATGGCAGTGGTCATTTAATTTTGTGCATGATACTGTGCTAATATCAAAATGCTAGATATGCATGTTCATATTCTCAATAGGGCTTGAGTTGGACAGGTTGCACTTTGCAGTATAAATTGAAGTAACAATAGACGATGCCTAGATTGTAAATATGAGTATTGTAATAGAAGTATCTTAAATTGTCTATCAATAAGAGAAAAATACCTTAAGCATTGCCTACCAATAGTGAGAAACAAACCTCAGAAAGCTTCTTGTTTACATAAAATGGGCTTATGGTATGGTTGGTCTATTTGATGGGTAATTTATGATTACTTAGTGATATGATATGTATAACTAAAGTGTCAAGAAGTAGTAGATGTAATTGCTTATAGAAGAAAAAAGAATATATATATTTTCTAGATAAAGAGGTACGTGTGACCTGCATATTTTAATTAGCAAGTTGAACGCTATTTGCACAAAGGCCTTAGCGCAAATAACGGAATTGGCCTAGTATAGAATTCAGGCTAAGTTATTATCCAACACATAAATGTATGAAGATTTGTATTTACTGCATTACTGGAATGACAGCGATTCTAAAATTGGCATAGTTGGATTGTACATACATGCTTCTTAAAAGAAAGAAAGGGAAAAAAAAACATGGTAGTGAACACATACAGGCAACAGGCTGCTAGTGATAGAAGAGAACTGAAGATATTAGATGATGAAGATTTGCCTTGAAGTAAAATATGGCTCTTGCATTGCAAGGATATGAAGCTGGGTTGGGCATGAGTCTCTAATGATGTGTTCCCAAAATAGCTCGTAAAGCTTAAAAGGGGTGCAAAGAAGGCAATGAAATCAGCATGATATGTTCCCAAAATAGCTCGTAAAGCTTTAAAGGGGTGCAAAGAAGGCAATGAAATCAGCTGGGCAAGGAATATTACTAAACTAGACACTTTCCATCAGAAGAATGACATGTAATTTAAGATCATATGTGCCCATGATGAGATTATCATAAATGGGTGCTTAGAATAGTATTCAGACTCCAGAAAAACTCATGCAAGAACAGGGGACCTATTGATGCATGGGCAAAGCTCTGTATCTTCTCTCTCTTTTTTTTTTGAAATATCAGCATGTGTACAACGTTTCGTTATAAATCAATCTCTCTTAAGTCAGCTATGTTATTTTTCATCCAAAAATTACTTCACTTATAGTAGTCAGACTGTGCAAGCAAATTTCAGCAACTGAATGGTGAAATACATACAAGGCTGTGAGTTGTAGTTCTATACAGTACTACTAATATTTCTACATAGCCTTTTTCTTTGTCTTCTCAATGTATTTGTCCTCTAGGCATGAAAACTGCAGGTGTTTACATTGAACTCAAAATAATAAAACCTTGCAGCTGAGACTTGGGAGTCAACATTGTGCAAGGCAACTCAAAGTTTCAGAGATCCAAATATTTCATTTGTCTTGGCAGAGAGTGAGGAGATCCAGCTACGAGAGGCATAGCATAATAAAATTTTGCATGGGCATGGCACTTGATCGAGCACCTTGTAGGCAAAACAGATACTATTGCAGGAGGAGCTGCTATGTTGCTGACGTGCTCAACATCTTCGATCGACAGGCAAGCACAGTAGGCTGGCCGGCTGCCGCTCGCAGTGGCCCAGCGCCGCCGTGGCAGCGGATCACACGCTCACGGTGACCATGTGACGCCGTGGCCGCATGTCTGTGCCGGCCGCGCCTGGTGCATCCCAACCTAGCTAAGGAGCAACGTGGCGTTGGGAAGTAGCTCTCTGCCAACGCTGCGTCGACGTTAACCATGAATCGACTACCCGAGTCTCGCCGAGCGAGAACGGCAAGAGGCGGTGCCTAGCCTACATCTAGCCCGCTGCCGCAGGCCGCAGCTGAGTTGCACGCGTAGAAAGCCATGGGCGGCCCGGCCCAATAAGAAACCGGAGCCTCTCCTGCAGTGTCGTGTTAAGGAGATACCTGGCCAAATGAGATGGAGATACGTGGCCAAATGAGATGTCTG